AGTGGTGTTCCATATTTACCTCTAATAGGTTTATAAGCCATAGTTTTTTCTCAGTGTTCATCATGAGGATTTCTTGCTGGATTATGCTGAAGTCATCATCTGGCTCTAACTTTATGACTTTGATGGCAGCAAAGTCATTTGTTGACATGCAGTCTTTTAGCTTTGTACACATCGCCGTAAGTACCACTCCCAACACGCATGATGAGTTCGTATGATGAAAAACCTTAAGAATCACAACACTTAGTGTTTTTCACCCCCTAGTCATGAAAAATGAAGTTCACTCTTGATAAAAGTCATCTCTACATATCTTAAATCACCTGCCTAAAGCGATATGAGTTGTTACTCAATATGTAATTGAAAAAAATTGCACTCCTTCATCCAGTCATGGCCAATGCACAGGTAACAAGGGTTCGAGATGTAAGGAGGTCGGAGATCAGCAGAAGCAATCCCCAAAATGAATACGAACTCATCATGCGTGTTGGGAGTGGTACTTACGGCGATGTGTACAAAGCTAAAAGACTGTCAACAAATGACTTTGCTGCCATCAAAGTCATAAAGTTAGAGCCAGATGATGACTTCAGCATAATCCAGCAAGAAATCCTCATGATGAAAGACTGTGTCCACCCAAACATCATCGCATACTTCGGAAGTTATTTGAGAGGTGACAAACTATGGATTTGCATGGAGTACTGTGGGGGCGGATCCTTACAAGATATTTATCACATAACCGGGCCTTTAACTGAAATTCAGATTGCGTACATGTGCAGAGAAGTATTGAATGGCCTTCATTATTTGCATTCAATGGGTAAAATGCATCGCGACATCAAGGGCGGCAATATCCTCTTAACAGATGGTGGAGATGTTAAATTGGCAGATTTCGGTGTCTCCGGCCAGATCACCGCAACCATGAACAAACGGAAATCTTTCATCGGCACACCTTACTGGATGGCTCCTGAAGTTGCAGCTGTAGAACGCAAAGGAGGCTACAATCAGCTCTGTGATATTTGGGCTGTGGGCATCACTGCAATCGAGCTGGCAGAGCTACAACCTCCTATGTTCGATCTCCACCCGATGCGAGTTCTTTTTTTGATGGCCAAAAGTGGCTTCAAGCCACCCACACTTAAAGACAAAGAAAAATGGAGTCCGACATTCCACAATTTTCTGAAGACAGCTTTGACCAAAAATCCTAAAAAAAGTCCCTAACTAATTTCCTTACACAAATGAGGAGAGAAATTCTGACTCAATTTAAGAAAATTTTATCTTTCGACGTGGCCTATGAAATAGTTAACTCTACTAACCCTCTAGCCGACGACAGAACGTGCATTGTTTGGGTGATCGAATTGTGAATTTCCTTCTAGATTCAAAACAAGGTTCCCTTGTTTTAATTCCCTTGATCAACGAAATCTATTTGAAAAAAGATATAACAGTCTTTTGGTTTATCCTTATTTATAAGATTAGATTCTACATTCAAAATACGTGGACAACACGCGGAGCTTTCCTTCATCAAAATTCCCCACTCCTTCTTAGTATGAGTAGAAATCATACATTGATACTTATACTCCTCATTGTTCCTGCTTGAAGAACACTACGTCAAAGCATTGTACATCCGGTAAAATCTTGCACTTTATCCTCAAAAGAGTAGTTTGGAGGGATGAAACATTGATTCAATTTTTCTTCTCTGGGCGATGATTGCCATTTGTTAATTTTCAAGATTTTTCTGATCGTTGAATCTACTGCACATCCAAAACTTACTTTACAAAAACTAGGCTAACAATATGAAAACTAAAGCCCCTTGACGCAACTGTTCGTACTCCACAGATGTGCTTGTCGCACGTTTAATATTGTAGGCACTTACGCTTTTCGCACCTCTCCAGAAACGCACAGGAGTTTTCGTTAGTTATAGCACACTTATAACTCGCCTTCGGGTCATGACCTGTCTATCGTGATTCCACTTTGTCTAAACTAAATTAATTACCTTTTTTGCTCCAACAATAAAAAAAAACTTATAACTCAGTTCATATGTCGTCGTGGAGCTTTCTGAGCGGGGAAAGTCTAAGGGTTCCATTCATACCGAGCGCAAAAACTTAAATCTTTGCACACATTCCAGTGTTTTTCCCTGATCGTGTTTCTTGCGATGATTTTATGCCACGCAAATCTGACTATTTCACCGCATTTTCCTCGCTACGATAACTGCCACCAGAATCCCCTCCTGCATTTTGCATCGGTTACACATAGTCCACTGCGAACTTTTGAACTTGACGTTCCAAAGTCGGAAGATGAGTACGGCGATGTGTACAAAGCTAAAAGACTGTCAACAAATGACTTTGCTGCCATCAAAGTCATAAAGTTAGAGCCAGATGATGACTTCAGCATAATCCAGCAAGAAATCCTCATGATGAAAGACTGTGTCCACCCAAACATCATCGCATACTTCGGAAGTTATTTGAGAGGTGACAAACTATGGATTTGCATGGAGTACTGTGGGGGCGGATCCTTACAAGATATTTATCACATAACCGGGCCTTTAACTGAAATTCAGATTGCGTACATGTGCAGAGAAGTATTGAATGGCCTTCATTATTTGCATTCAATGGGTAAAATGCATCGCGACATCAAGGGCGGCAATATCCTCTTAACAGATGGTGGAGATGTTAAATTGGCAGATTTCGGTGTCTCCGGCCAGATCACCGCAACCATGAACAAACGGAAATCTTTCATCGGCACACCTTACTGGATGGCTCCTGAAGTTGCAGCTGTAGAACGCAAAGGAGGCTACAATCAGCTGTGTGATATTTGGGCTGTGGGCATCACTGCAATCGAGCTGGCAGAGCTACAACCTCCTATGTTCGATCTCCACCCGATGCGAGTTCTTTTTTTTGATGGCCAAAAGTGGCTTCAAGCCACCCACACTTAAAGACAAAAAAAAAATAGAGTTCGACATTCCACAATTTTCTGAAGACAGCTTTGACCAAAAATCCTAAAAAACGCCCAACTGCTGAAAAGCTATTACAACACTCATTTTTCATGCAAGTTAGGGACTGTTCAGAAAGAGGGAGAAAATAATTTTTAATTACATCTACGCCACTTTGTGTTTTAGTGAGTTTTAAAATGTTCTCAGTTTTTTACTGAATTACTTGTCTCCTTTATTTTTGATAGTAACTTCTTATCCTTCTTTATTCCATCAATATTTTATTTGTGTCTTTATTTTGCCATCGGCATCGCTTGTGAGCGAGGGTAGCTTTTCTGTCTCTGTTTTTAATACTGCCGTGCTAAAGAAGAACGCCGTATGAACATTCGAGAATTGCCAACTTTCCTTCGATAAAATGTTTATTTTTGAGGAAATTTATGAATTTTTTTCCTTGAAATTTTCAGGAATTCTAGTTGAAATTGTGAACAAAATTATCTGAAAAATTGCAAGGAAAATATTCATAAGTTTGCCAGGAAATTTGTGTTTTATCAAAGGAATTTTGGCAACGCCTGAAAGTTCATACGGCGTTTTTCCTTAGTACGGCAGAATAGTGAGGTTGATTTGTCGATCCCCTCGCTGAAGCAGCGGCATTCGAGGCGAGGACACTGGGATGCCGCACAGATATCTTCACAGGCCGACTTTATGGAGCAATGTCTTTGTTACCTGGGCGGAGTGGGTGCGGGACCGCGCACCTATGAAGCGGGACTCGCTCTCTTTCAAACGTTTCAAACGCTCGCCGCGTCGTAAATTTTGTGAAGCACCCAGCACAGCCCCTTACGTCATCGTAAGTCTAAAATATCGGCCGTAAACTGAGGCTCTGAGTCGCCTTTAGCCCGCGCCTTTCGGTCTCATCTTCCGACTTTGGAACGTCAAGTTCAAAAGTTCGCAGTGGACTATGTGTAACCGATGCAAAATGCAGGAGGGGATTCTGGTGGCAGTTATCGTAGCGAGGAAAATGCGGTGAAATAGTCAGATTTGCGTGGCATAAAATCATCGCAAGAAACACGATCAGGGAAAAACACTGGAATGTGTGCAAAGATTTAAGTTTTTGCGCTCGGTATGAATGGAACCCTTAGACTTTCCCCGCTCAGAAAGCTCCACGACGACATATGAACTGAGTTATAAGTTTTTTTTTATTGTTGGAGCAAAAAAGGTAATTAATTTAGTTTAGACAAAGTGGAATTATGATAAACAGGTCATGACCCGAAGGCGAGTTATAAGTGTGCCATAACTAACGAAAACTCCTGTGCGTTTCTGGAGAGGTGCGAAAAGCGTAAGTGCCTACAATATTAAACGTGCGACAAGCACATCTGTGGAGTACGAACAGTTGCGTCAAGGGGCTTTAGTTTTCATATTGTCAGCCTAGTTTTTGTAAAGTAAGTTTTGGATGTGCAGTAGATTCAACGATCAGAAAAATCTTGAAAATTAACAAATGGCAATCATCGCCCAGAGAAGAAAAATTGAATCAATGTTTCATCCCTCCAAACTACTCTTTTGAGGATAAAGTGCAAGATTTTACCGGATGTACAATGCTTTGACGTAGTGTTCTTCAAGCAGGAACAATGAGGAGATATATGTAGCTAAATTCCGTTTAGCTCTGGTTCATTTTCTTCAGATGTTTTGACCAGGAGATGCCATGTTTTTGATTCTATTCAGTTTAAATTCTAGAACTAAGACAGTGAACATCTTCGTTTGCTTGGGGCTTGAGAAGATTTAAGCGCATCTCGTTGGGGGAATGCTCAACACGTGTGGGTGAATCATTACTTTGATTCCCGAGAAAGGATGTACCGTCATTGACTGAATCATAACTCCGTTCATTAATTCGCGGACCATTTAGTTTGACTTATTTTAGTCGACCCTCGACAAGCAGGAGCCGAGGCGACGCGACACCAGTTCGGAAGTTTCACCATGTGCGTATTTTTTTCCGCGAAAAAAAACAAGCAGAAAATAAACCGAGAATACTCTCAATTGGATGTCATGAAAATACGTTGCATCCTTCAAGAGCCCTGAGCGACCCAGAGAAACAAATACGACGGGACTCATCTACAAATTCAGTTACGCTCTTTTGTCAGACGTCACGAAAGAGATGGTATTCCTAACCAAAGCTGCAATGAGAGACAGATTCTAGCGTTAAATGATTTCTCTCTTTTGCTGTCTTATTTATAAAAAAAAGTGTCGTTTTTTCTTATCCTGCGCGTTTGTTCATTCACCCGGGCAGTCATTCTTCGCTTTTAATTGTAGGGAGTGACAAGCGTAAAGAGTCCAATATCAACTTAGAAAAGAACATATGCTGTGGGGATAATACGTCCATTGAGTCTGATCCCATGTACATTGACGATTAACAGACCGCTAGACAAGGTGCAGATTTATCCATTATGATACATTTATCATCTAAATTTTGCGTAACATACGAAGTGTACTACGGAAACTGAAAGTAACCCCTAATCTAAGTATAAACGTTTTTTATGCATAAATTCCAACTTTCCGGTTATAGAAAAAGCAGTAATCTGAAGTGTTGCCTTAGCGTAAGGATTATTGAATCGTTATCAGATCGTTACCGAATGGCTTGATCAATAAATCGTGCAACTAAGACCAGGATTTATCGATTCATGTTCTACGATAACGTGCCAATAGCTGATGTGGCTTGGTTCCTTTTCGCTTAACGCGGTCCAACTGTCGGTGCGGTCTCGTCGTCGCTCCCTTGACGTAAGGACTTATCTCTATTTATACCTGAGCCCCGAAAGCATAGAGTTATACGGAGAACATGGCTCACGTGGAAATTGAGATACGCCCTTACGTCATCGGAGCGACGTCGTGTGGACTGATCGTTAACTATCGGGTCGCCTGGCGGTCTGGCACCCGGTCTACCGCGGTAGGTAAGAACCACCTATCTCCGGCGTAAATCATACGTGTATCTGCGATTCTCGCTCGTCCTGATCGTGAGGGTCTAATGAGACCCTGGATCCACCTGAAGACTGAAGAGTCTGCGGCCGCCGCACAGTGGATCGAGTCAATAGAAGTGGTCGGGGACAATTTGGAAACTGCAAACGCCTACAACTCCGTTCATACAAAACTTTGAAGTTCTGAAACCGGTTCCATTGGTTTCCTCGAGAAATTTTCTTGTCTAAGCACCCCTTGAAATTTAAAATACGACGAAATAAACGTCAAAATTTGCAGTTCTAGACATAAATTTCTTATCCGACCTCTCTAACTGAATCGATCCATTGTGCGCCGC